GACGGTTTGACATTCCGCGACCGGCCGTCTCGTCTTGCTTCGGCTTTAACGATATCCTGCGCAATGATTTGTGGCGTGTATTTCAATTAGCACGAAATCGAATCAGCGCGCCGCCACTTTCTCGCTGCAATGGATTATCATTTCCAAGAGGAAAGTTCGCACAAGTGTGGAGAGCGCCTTCGACGGCGCTTCGCTCGACATTTCTATACGTAACACCTTCGCTTTCGTGTTCGGACTTGCCGCTTTTCCATCGACGCTCTACTGCTGTCATTTAATTAGTGCGCTTGGCGTGCACATCCCTATGAAGATTGCACTGGTGCAAGCAGCTCTAGAGAGCCTCCATGGCAGTCGTTCAAATTTCTCGCCCGTCTCCCGTCGATACAACTGTTCGATGACGTTATGGATTCAGCGACGAAAACCGGTAGCCAACTCTCGGCGTCGTTTGTCAGCTCAGCACAAAAAAGAGAAAAGGAAAAGAATTGGCCTGCCGATCGCGCATTCAGCGCGCAGAGTATCCGAGCTGCACTTGTCTCTCGCGGCGGCGGCGGCGGCGGCGGCGGCAGCGGCATGGTCGCGCTGCAGGCATGGAAAGCTGTGGCGAATTCCGGCGGTACGTGTGTGTGTCGCGCTATCTGTCGCGGCGATCTTGACCTTGGCAGGCTCGCTTGTAGGGAAGGTGACTGGCCGCCAAGGTCGTCGTTGTCGCGGAAGGGAGAGAATAGCGAGCTCGATCAAGGGAGAGATAGGGTTAAGGATCATCGGATCGTCTATTTTATTCCCCGTCTCTTTTTCTCCGACCAGTCCGCTACTATCCAGGAATTTTAATGCGCTCGATATCTTTTAGCCCTGCCTCACCATTTCGAATACTTGGCTTCTTTGCCTGTGTAGTCTGGAGACGCAGCATGACTCGCTGCCTCGAATCGGCCGATTCATCGATGAACTTATGGTTTTCTTAAACTACGTTAGCGTTGGAATATTTCGATCGAGCCCAAAATACTCGCTTACAACTGACGAATATCTGTTGAAAAAATTAAGGACCACATTCGCATTCAGAGGTATAACATAAGCAAGCAAATAATCAGGCTTAATGTCTCATCAGGCCGTTTAAGCAAATTTTTGAATGATCGCCGTTGAACTAAGGAAGTCAGGCAATAGCAGCAACAGCAGCAGCACCAAACAAAGAACGCGCAACTTGAATTCCGACGCTCGCGGTAATCGGTGTGCTTCCACGTTGCTTTGTGTGCGCTCGGATGCTTTAAAAAAGGCGCGGGCGGAGACTGCTTACACTTAAATGCAGACGACAACGAGCGTCTGGAGATATTATCGTCTAGTGCGTTCTCTCGCGATTCGCAGGTACCTGCCTCCTCCTTTCGCCTCCCCTTTCTCTTTGTGTACACGCGTACCACAACACGTGCAGCTGCTTTTTCGGCACTGGAATGCGTAGCCCGGAGGCTGCATTGTTTTTTTGTTCCAAGAACGTGGCTGGGATTCTTTGTTCGTGGAAGATGCAGCAGAGCAGGCAGCAATTTGAAAATCCAGCAATTTGAAACAGGCGCAACGGTAAAGCGAACAGGCGGATTCTGTGTCGCAACTATGTGATAAATAACTGGCGGGCGCGCAATCGGCTTTTCTGCATCGGGCGCGCGCGCTTGCGTAGACCGAAGTTGATTAGGGTTTGAGCGACGCGTGCTTTTGATGATTAATAGCTCTGGGAAAAATTGAGTAATCGGCGTGTGCTTCGCCTAGTATGATTCGTTTCCTCAATTAACTCGGGCACACTCGCGCTATTTGCTAGACAAGCCCTCGTTCCGATTTTCTGCAACTTTCCATCGCGCCAGCTCCAAGTTTTTGCGCCGTGTGCCGTGTAACGTGGGACTATATTACGTTTGCTTGAACTTTCGATGCGAAGACGACGATTCGCTCGTCCGCGTCGCTGCGTACATGACGTAGTCTTTTCCCTTTCTTTTGGGATTTCTTTTTCAACGGTACGTGCTCTCGTCGATTAAGATGGATCGAGTGGTGCTACCGACCTCGCGATGCTTCTTGCAGAATAATTTTCAATTGGCTTTTCAGTTGCTCGCTGTGGTAGATTTTCGCATACCAACGAACCCACACGGATGTATGCTTCTGATGAATATCTTCAAGATTCGTATTCGTTTATTCCGGGCTCGAAATGAATGCTGAGAATTAATTCACGGTTTGCGATCATCAGTTACATCGTTCTATTATAAAGTAAAAAAATTAATACCCGAGTTGAATCGCGACTGAGTGAAAGCATCGTGTGAAATGTTTGCTCTACCAAATCGAGTATGAAAATCAACCCAACGTTCTCTAAAATAGAGCAATTCAGTCGGCGGAAATCTGAAAATATCGAAGCGTCGACTAGCCGCGCAGCAGAGAAAAAGCCTGAGCAGCTCGTGAACTGTAGCACTGATCTCCGTGAAGCAACACTTGGCTCGCCTGCGAACTTCAACCTGTCGAAGCACCCAATTTCGCCGATCTGCATCGAGGTCAGGATGGAAAGCGTGCCTTGTGTTCGCTGCGCGCGATTATTTATCAATGAAAATTCGCGCGGCAGGTATCGGATCTAATTATATTGTAGGTTAGCGCGCGAGAGAGAGAGAGAGAGAAAATTGAAATCGATCGGCTCTGCCTTATGCAGCAGCTGCTCGATAACCACTTGGGATTTCGCGTGATACTCGAGCCTTGTAACGCATTAATTCGACGCATTTTTATTTTCTCTCGTTGCGAGGAAAGCAAGACGCGCGTCCTACTTTTTCATCGGGGCGAATAATACTCTGTCTGACGAATACAATAGACAACGACGACGATGACGAGGGGGAGGAAGAGAAGGAGAGAGAAGAGAGAAGAGAGCTTGGCTAATTAGCTACCACTAAGGCTTAATAGGGTTATGCGCGCGAGTCGCGGAAGTGCAACGTCCTGCGGCTTTTGCCGCTGTTTTCGAAGCTCGTCTAGCGAAGCTCGTCTAGACGATAACGATCGTATAACGATTTTCTGCCTCTCGACTTGGACGATTGGTAATCGATCTGAATCGGCGCAGTGGCAATTAATCAGTGCTTATCGCTATATTAAATCATAATTAACGTGCGATCGGCCGCGAATCCAGTTTTCCTGCGCGCCGACGGATATTTGCACAAGTGTTGTAAATAATGGCCGTAGGGGCTTCCACGGGCTACCTAATTCAGCGATAGCGCCAGATTGTTTAGCGGCGCGCGAGTTGGTTTGGCACACCCACGGCTAACGGTTTGTTATCTCGGTCTACCAATAATTTATCGCGACATTCATTGTTACACTTATGCCCGCTGCTCTCTTTCTCTCTGTTGCTGCGCTGGCGATTGTACGGCGACTGGCATTCAGCTCTCTCTCTCTCTCTCTCTCTCTCTCTCTCTCTCTCTCTCTCTCTCTCTCTCTCTCTCTCTCTCTCTCTCTCTGGATCCGTCCAAGACCCATCGATTAAAAAGCCAATACAACCATGGCCTCTTTATGCATTATCTGGTTCGTTTTGCTGGCTAGAGATTCCAGTTGTTGCAGCGGCATGACGACGAGGATATCGTAATGCTTCATCAGCGCCGGGCGCGGAACGTTGCGCCGAGCAGGCGATTTCGAGGCGTACACCATTTAAAAGCTATCGAGAGCGTGCTCCATTACGATTGTTAGCCGCGCTGTAACGAGTTTGTTACTTTGCCAATTTTCTTTCCTCGTGCTCGATAACATTCCAACCGCCACTATTAGTTGTCTTTCGTTTTGTTGTTCGTTCTAGTTGCTGGCGATTTTGTTCATTCCTTTCGTTTCAGCACGTCACTTCCCGATCCATGGCGCGCTGGATAGATGCTCGCTGATACTGCTGAATTCTACTGAGAATTGTGAGCATTGTCCTGTTGAAATTTGAAAAGGCGATGCATAAGCGTGGCTTTTAAAGTACGGATTGAATAGAATTTGCGTATACTAACAACTGGATAATTATACGAGCAAAGCTGTATTTTTATGTTAATAAACCAAGCCAAAGTATATATCCATGAGTCAACGCAACCAATCTCGACATCATCATCTGCTCGTCAATACAAAGAAAGCGGATCTGTGATACACCGGTGAAAAATTGATTTTGCAAAATCAATGAAAAAACAAGTCTGAAGTCGCCAACAAAACTCGTGAAAGCAAATTAACCGACAGTCATCCGCAATGACTAAAACAACTCTCTCGGGAATTCGAAAAGCAAATCTTATCGGTTCGCCATGCGTTCGCACAGCAGCGGCGGCAGCAGCGGCAGCAGCGGCAGCAGCTGGCTTGACTTTTTATCCCATGCTCTGCACGCCTAGTAAGAGAGACCGGTCCACTACTGGTCTTGAGAGAACCGGTATGTAATCCCATGCAACTCCTTCCGGTTGGAGGCTTTCTTTCGACTACTAACACGCACTTTCACGATCAGCAGGCTCCACGCTGTGGTTTGTCTGTCTCGCGGGGGTGGACTTGATCGGTTTCGATTTCACCGCAACTCGAACGATCCTCTGGCGCTCAGCGCATGCCGAAGTGCTTCATCACCATAGATCGTTCGCATCATCTTGTCGATTCAACACTGCGAGTCGTGTCCGAGCAGCGTTGATCGATGAAGAACATGCGAATTGTGCAGTCCCGGCGATTTTCGATGGTTACTCCGAGCGCGCGTAACGACGTCGTTAGCGGATCGCGCCGCAGTGAAAGATTTTTATGAAGGGCCGCTCGAGCATATTTTTTTGCGAATGAAAAGGGGAAACGCTAATAGACGATTGCCGCGCGATCGCCGCGCGATCGCCGCGGCTGATACCTGTACGTGGCTTGATACTCCGTCGAGCCGCTGTAGTCGGTATTATTTATCGGCCTATTCCGCATGCGTGGTGTCCGTCGCCGCGGATACAAGCTCGCCCTTCCCCCCTGCCGATTCGTACTCGATCAAGTATTTTGTTGAGCAGCTGCTGACCATGGGCCTTTCTTGTATGTTGCAGGCTGTGAAGCTGGAGTCGGTGCACCCAGGACGAACGCGTTACCTCGTGGTGGTATCGTGCACGGGACGCCAGGACGCCGAGGAAAGTTGTCTGCTGGGCATCGATTGCAACGAGCGCGCAACCGTTGGCCTGGTACTGCGAGTACTCGCCGACACGGCCATCACGCTCGACGGCGATGGGTCAGTACACCTCTACGCACACTCGATGAGATGAGGTTAAGCCGATTACGCGCCAATCTGAATAAATTAATCGGGCGGTCGAAAGTGCCTAACGGTGCCTTCGTTGCGTAAGCCGCTTCTGCGAGGCTTTATCGCCGAGCGAATCTACTTGAGAACGTGCGGCGCGGCCCGAATCGGTCCGCGGAGGAGTCGGTGATGCTGCGCGGCGTTATTGGCATTCCAAGAGGCTCGCTTGCGTGCGCACCTAGCCGCGGAAACGAAGGATGCGCGATGGTCCATCGCGCGTGCGTGAGCAGATTGCAAATCGGAAGTGACGCGGGCTTAATTGGCCTCGCGTGACGTTGACGAGCCGCGCGGCAATTATAGTCTCCGCCGATAGCGTCAAAAGTTTTTTCCCTCTCCCCCTCTCTTTTGCATGCATCCCCCGTGCGCGATCGTGGAAACGCCCACGACTGATCTTCAGCCTGATAACTGCCTTAATATGCGCGCGATGCGCGCGATGCGCCCCAAGCTTTTACCTCAAAGTTCTCGACGTCTCTGCTTATCGCCCTGTAAATGTCGTCTTGCGCGAGAGTATTATGAGATACTTGCACGCTCGTGAAAAAACAATTAGTGCGCAGCACGTTGAGCTCTTGCGCACACGCATTGTAATTCTTGCTCGTTGCACTCGTGCGTGTTGCTTCACTCGTTGTTAGTATACCGTGAAAAGCGTCGAGCAGTCGTTGCGTTTTTTCGGCATTCGTTTCCATGAACAATGCGGCCTCGATTCAAACACAACGTTGTCGTTGACGATCGATCGTCAAAGTACTTAGATCCGTTGACTTGAGCAGGCCGAGCCGTGAAAGTGTCATACGGAGTGCAGGCGGAATCGATAATCCAAATTCGGTAACTCGTTGCAAAGAGCCTCTGGCGGATTTTAGAAATCTGCACGATTAAAATCTTTAGGCGCGCGCTGACATTCGAGAAAAGTTTCACTCCGCCTTGAGCATTGCAAACGGCAAAAATTCCAGCAGCCGGCGCAGCAGCATCCTTCATATTCACGATCCAATAGCTAAAGCCAAACAAAACTTTCGCTCTGGCAAGGCTCGCGCGCAAAAAAACAGTGAGCCGTGAGATAGGCACATCGATGGTCCGTGATCGCGCCGACGAAACTATAGAGAAAGGAAGCTCGCTCGGAGAGAGATGATGGTTCGATGGTTCGATCGTTCGATCGTTTTTGGCTCGTCGCGCGGCTCAGCACTTTCTCTCACTCTCCGTTCCGTTGCACGTCTCGCCCTCGTTTATTGCATTTCGACAAATGTGCAGTTGGCAAAAACGCTTTCCCCGTTAGAAAGTTTACAGTCGTCGTAAAAAGGGCATTCCTCCGCGCGTATCGACCATCGGGCAAAGCAAATTATTTAATAGGCGGGCGTCTGGAGCAGCGAGCAGCAACAACAACGTCGTCCATCATCATCGCGTAAAGAGCGTACAAAAAAAAACGAGCGGCGCAACAGCTTAACCACTTGAAATCACAACGCAGCTGCGAGTCTCTGATGAGAAAATTGTCTTTTTTCCGCCGGCGGCTCGCAGCTGCGAGGACGGACACGCGACAGGACGCGAGCGATTAAGGAGGCAGAAGAAGTCTCGCGGATCTCTCTCTCTCGCGGAGTTGCGCAAGCCGCGCGCGGGGGCAGCGCGACAGCTGCCTCCTCGCAGGCGCGCGCCGCCGCGTGCAAACAGAACTGCCGAGTGAACGATTGCCGGGCGCGCGAGTAATTGTCGGCTACCGATCCGCTGACGCCGCCGATATTAAATACTAGCGTGTTTATTTACGCGCCGCGCGCCGCCACTTGATTGTTTGCTTCGGCTAGAGCGCTCGCAATTTATCAGCCGATTCGTTTGCGCAGGCACGTGATAAGCTTGCACTCGCACACACCAATTGACTAGTTGCGAAAGCTTCTCCAGTCGGTCGCTTCTCGGCGGCAATTCTGTGCGTACGCACGACGACCACGAGACAATTGTACCGCAAGCTACCGCTACTTGACCCCTGCGATGACTCGAGCGTGGAAATAGGAAAAAACGTGCACGCGCGCGCGCGCGCGTTAACGACTTTTTCCCGACAAAAACATCATAGGAAAAACGTGCTCGCTTAATGCGCTTCTTCAAACTTTACTGAAAACTGATTCCGCTCGTCAAAAGTGAGCTGCAGTTGCGCGCTAACTTGGACTCACTTGTAATTAAACGTAATGAAACTATTCGAGATCTATGCCCAAGTATGAAATTGAAGCTTTGGCAGTATGCGAACGACTCCATGGGTCGACAAACTAATCAAATGGCGGATTGATAAAAAGCCGAAGTGATAAAAGTTTTTTCGAGTTAATCTGACGGTACGAGGCTTCCGAACCGCTCGAAGCGAAGATAATGCCAGTCAGATCGGAGGAAACTAAAAGTCACGCAATCACGCCAGAGCGTAGGCTGGGCGCAAGAGGAACAAAGCTTTTGGACAAAAGCAGAGCACTGTGAAAACGCGAACGGGCAAGTGGAGCGCGGAACAAATCGCCGCAGCAGCAGTCAGTGCGCACTTTTATCGTCGCGTTATAATGGGAAACCCGAGAGGAAACAGGCCTCTTCCAGTTTCTGATTTGTGGACTCGCATTGTTTATCTCGGATTAAAATGATGTCCTCTTACGCTTGTTTTGCCACTATGTCGGGCAGGCGATGAAGTTTCGTCGAGTGGAAAGTGGCCAGGAGTAAAATATTATATCTCAAAATAACGAGACGCGCCGCGGTTTCTTGATCAACGAGCGCTACTGGCGAACAATGTATATTCAAGCCACGCGGATAAATAGACCGGCAAAAACAACGTTTGTTTAAACGTACACGTAGGAAGCGACAAAAATTAAAGAATCGCACAATGAGGAGCTTACCACCCATAAATTAGGGATTAGCCGACTGTTACCTACCCAATATGGGTCCAAAAGAAAGGAAAACGAATAATAAGAGCTTTCACTTTTGGACTTCCATTCATAATGGAAAAAGGCGATGTAGAAAGTCAATTTATAACTGGCTCGTTGGGAATAGGCGACAGTAGCAGTATAGTAGTGAGGCTAAACGCCGACCGTGTCGTATACACCGAATTGAATTCGACACCTCCGCGAGGAGCAATTGGACAGGCGATTTGCCCGAACGGAAGTCGCACGCGGCGCAGTGAAAGTGCCGATAGTTTTCGCGTAGAAATGCAAGTGATTGTCGAGGGAGGCGCTCGCGTATGCTTTACGTAAGGCAGCTGCGGCGTCGATGTGTCCTTCGCGCAAGCATCGTCGCTCCGACGCGCCACCAGATCCCCGAGTCCGCGGAGCTTGCGCGCGCCCCACGATGAGCACCCTGCAGAAAAGGACGCCGCTCGATCTCGATCTTTCGAGAGATGCGCGCAGATAGTACGGAGTCGATTGAATAACGTTCGATGAGGCGAAGGTGTGAGTCATACGTGCGGCCCAACGCGGCCGGCAATTAAAGCCGGGAGCTGATAAATCTCCATCAGTCGACGAGAGAGCAGAGAGGGGAGGGCGAGGATCGAGCGCAGACAAAAGGGAGCCTCGCGTGTCCGAAGAAAATGAGCAAGTGCAGTTTGCGTTCTTGGCGTGTCAGTGACCTACGAGGTGCGCGCGCGCGCCGATGGACGATGATGCGGGTTACTTATACTGCCGCAGTATCGTTATACTTTATTTAGACTTTGCGTAGGCGTGCTCGCGCAGCGCAGGTGACACATCTGCATTGAACACGCGCTTTGTACGCTCGGGCCATTAATGAGGCATTTTTTGCGTACGACGTTACTGAGACTTCCTTGAAAGAAACAGGAGTGCCGTTGTTGCAAGGACTAGCCGCCGAAGGAGGTCCTATTTCTGCTCATCCTCGTTCACTATTTCTATTTCTAGCACACGAAGCTTCTTTAATAAGAGGGCGAGTTTAACATTTATTTTAATCATTTCAATATATTTTTTAATATAGTCCCCCTTTAACTCTATACATTTATTATAGCGGCGCTCAAGCTTTCTCATGCCCCCTGCAGAGTAATTTTTACGAAACTCCGCCAAATGCTCATTGGTCGCAAACAAAAAAATATTCCGAAGCGCTCAAATCTGAAAAACAAGGTGGCTAAGGAAATATTTCATAGCGTAAATCGAATATGTGGCAGAGCATTGTCGTGATGGAAAAAAGCTTTTTTTCGCTAGAAGGGGCTACTTTTTCTTCAGTATGGTGTTAAATTGTTCTAATAATGAGGCATAATATTCTTGTGCGATACTTTTTCTTGTCTGTAGGTAATCGATTAATATTATGCAAGTTAAGTTCTAAAAAATAGTGTTCATGATTTTTCCGGCTGATCGTAACGTCTTCGCTTTTTTCGACTGATTTTTCATTTCTGCCATATAATAACGAATTCACGCTTCATCAACAGTAATGTAACGTTACAAAAACCCCTTTGGAATATATTGAAACATGCTCAAATGTAACCACACGAGCTCGCTTGTTATCAACTGTGAGCAAGCGTGGCACCCATTTTCCAGAGAGCTTTGTCATGACCAAACATTCGTGTAAAATGTTCCGTGTGCATGCTACTGAAATGTTTAGAGCTTCGTTAATCTCACGCACTTAAACCGTGCCGTGCGATGTAGCAGAGTCTCCATTTTACTTTTCGAGCTTTCTTTCAATTACTTTAATTGATTTTCCGCGTAGAAAATAATGTTTATTAAGCACACAAAACTCATTTTTTTCATGATTTTGTATAGACAAAGAAAAACTAAATTCAATAACCGTAATAAATTTCTAAATCAACGTATAAACTTGAAACATTGTATACGTATTCATACTAGATGGGACTCTCTTAGAGTAGAAAATACGTTGCGGTAACACGATAACAGCACTATATCTTTTGAGAAGTCACGGGCTTATTGAACAACCCCCGCACATGACGGTATCTAGGTTATTTGTCAGCGAGATTTCATATGGTAACTCCACATTTCTTATCTAGGTGACATAAATTAATATTAAACAAAATATACCAATAGCAACAATGGAACGTTATCGGTCTTGCAAAATCATTATTCAACGTTTATTTTCTATTGTTGAATTGTCAAGTAACTGCTAAATGTAAATATAAAAACCATACGGCAATAATTTGCAATTAGAAATATGTAGAGACGCTATGTCAGCGAAAGTCTAATAAAAATCCAAGTTTTTCACACTCATGGCGCAAACGTCGTTCGAAAACAGTCGAGTTTCGAACAGTAAATTTGCAATTTCTTCGTTAGCTGCGATTTTGGTACGCGAAGAAAATTCGGTTATAGAAAGTGTTGTATCATTTCTTTAGCTAGACCGATCGAGCCCAGTTTTCTCCGCTTAACGTGTATCGAATAGAACATCAAAATGATCTCGCATACGGCATAGCTTCGACGTAGCATGCGAGCATAGAATCGATACAATTACAGCAAGATTTTCGCTCGGCAACACTGATATTTATCTATCGTTTTCACATGCGTGCCCATGCTAAACGCCGAATCCCGAGAGCAGCGCCATTCAGCCGTTCACTTTTCGACTGGTATATACGCATGGTATACATCGACATACGTGAAATCGAAATTTCAAGCGGGAACACGCTTGCAAGCGGCTTTTATGTAACGGCTGTGACGTTACAGCTTCGATTTATATTACATGTGCGTGCGTCGGAGCATTATAATTAATTTCCGAGGATGCCGGAGTAGGGGCGCGCGGTTCGGCTGATTTTCAAACGGATAATTCGTTTATCGAAGTTGCATTTTTCTTTCGCTTATCGCGGCGATATCTCGCGGCTACGGAACTCTATTTCGTTGCATACGCGGATCGCGCTTCGATCTTTCCGCGTGCGAGGAGAGCGAGAAAGAAAAAAGCCGCGCTTGCGTTAAAAGAGATCGATGCTCAAACGAACGTGTACTTGGGGAAATGAGAAAAAATGCATTTGCACGCTGTTGGCGTGCGACTTTCTTTTGGGCAATGCGTTAAACAAACAGTGCCGGCTTACGTGCATGAATAATTCAGTCGACATCACACGGGCGTACGTGAGATATCTAATGCGACGCTACTTACAAATATGCGAAGACTTCTGATCTGATCGCTTTCACAAACGACCAGCAGAAGCTGTGTTGATCTGTACGCGACTGCAATTTAACGTGTACTTTCGTTGTCTGTTACAGTGGCTTCAGCGTCAGCGTCTGCGGCTGTCAGCACATCTTTAAGCCTGTCTCCGTTCAAGCAATGTGGTAAGTTTCCCCGCAACCACGTACACGTATCTAAACTAAGACGCTTTGCAAAAGAAAAATATCTTGCAAAGCCATCAGTTTGGTGTGCGCGTTCGGCGAACAATATGAAGTGTATAAGGCGCGAAAGCACATTTTCTCACGTAAATCAAGCGCCGAAAGGAGAGTAGTTTCCGACAAACTTGAAGCTCCGAGTGAACGAATGATCGACACTCGTGGGCTCACGGAAAAAATGGCAATTTCGCTTGCTCGACTTCTAATTGAATGCCAATCGGTCGTAAATCGCGCCCATTATCGAGCGCGCAGCCGAGCTATTACGAGATGATTTAACGCGGAAAACACGTGTTTGCTGCAAAGAGAGAAAGCCAAGCGTGTACAAAGCTTCGACGTCGACGACGATTATCTGCGCGACTACGGAGAAAAGTGCTCGAGGACAATGAGAGACTATCGCCTCGGTCAATCGACGATTATCGAGGTCCGTGCTTTTTTTCCCCTCGAGCTCGTAAATCGATACGCTTTTGGCGCGTGTTTGTTTGCGTAATTAAACCGACTATTCATACATCAAACGGAATGATTTTTCTCGCTTGGCTGCTTTTACTTTCCACTGTAGGTGTGTCGATGGACGTGTTCGATGAAAGGCCAAAATTTGAGATTAATACGCGCGTAGACTCGTTGTCCCGCGAAACGTAGCTCGCACTCTGCGGGACTCGGCTAAAAAATAGTAAAAAATAAGGAGCGATCAGCTTCGCGCCAAACAAATTGACCGTGCTTTGTGCGGCTTTGTAGGTTGATCGGCGCAGAATCGGTGCGCGCGACGCCGCTGCGGCTGCGCGCGCTCAATTATAACGGCGCGCGATGCCCACGCCTCGTGGCACTAATCGCGCCAAGCGGCCGCGCGTCGCGTCGTCGTAGCCGCGCTGGTGCGTGGGCGTCGCTGATCGATGCCCTTCGCTGGCTTTTTACGCTTTGCCTTCGTTTGCGCTTTCCTCAAAGCGCGACGCCGTTCTCATTGCCGGTCAATAGTTCAAGCGACGCGACGCCAACGGCGATAGCGCGTTGCGGACGCTGCGTTTGCTCTTCGCGCGCACACGCTATCCTAGCTTGGCACTCGACGACAAAGATCGGCTTCGAAACCTCCGAAGCGTCAAGCTCATTTTCGTTTTCCTTCCAGGCCAGAGCACTTGATCCTCATCCGTTAACATTTCAACTTTGTATAAGTAATCTGACGAGAGCATTGCAGCCCGTCCGTATACTCTCGACGTGCAAAAAATAGCTTCGGCTACGCAACCATTTACACTGGCAGCCGCATGCTTATCAGGAGCGCATTATAGCCTGTTGCAGCTTGCACTCTCGACTCGCAGTAAAAACGAAAATACATATAACCTCGGTACGCATCGAACAATTGCCACTTAAGCCTTCGGGATGCACGGTCGCGGGTGAAAGCCTGTGTGCTCGCGAGGCTCCGCGGCTCAACTGTTCTAGCGCTCGTAAAGCAGAGGCGCAACGCTGACTTTTTAGATGGCAAAAATTCGTGCTCGCATTGTCTGATTTTATCTCGGAGAAATGACGCGTTGTTACGCGCATTTGTACTTTACCGATCGCTGCAAGGAACCTTTCTTCAGCGGCAAAAATGAAGCTGTGTACGACAGTGGTTCGAGAGCGAGAAATCGCTTCTCGAGTAACCGTAATGTCGCGATGGAAGCTTTCTTTGCAAGCTGCGCCCACGCGACCACCCTGGTACGTAACGGCACGCGCGTGATTATCGTGGAAGGGGTTGGACGTGCGGAATGAGTTTGACCTCGTCGAGGAGAGAGAGAGAGCGCGCGTTCTCTGCTGCCTCTTCGCGGTCGGTAATCGGTCGGCTCGATCAAGCGCAAAAGCCTCAGCCTCGGCCAAGCCAACCTGTTCTGTACGCGAGTCTCAGGCTATACAAGCTATCTCGCTTGGCCGCTTCGAGGTTAGTGGGTAATGTTCGTCACGCGTAGGCGTTAATTGCTTACTAATAACCAAAACTCGTCGCGGCCGCGGCTTAGTTAGACGACCGAATTTGTATTCCGAGGCGACGTTTTGCGCGAGGACATTGACACCACCTCGGTCGAAAGTGAAACTCGTTGTTGTCGTTGTTGTTGTTGTTATTTTTATTGTTGTTTGGGAGCTAGTGCGAATCCGACGCAGTTTACGACTGGAACGGCGACGCGTATGCGCTTTCGCAAAAGAACAAATCGCATTCGAATTCGAAGAGCGGCGTTCTTGAACGATTCGACGCCAAAAGTTGCGTTGATCGTTCCGCGCGGAAGTGCATCCGAGCAGCGTTCGACAGAACCGAAATTCAGGCAGTTTAATGACAATGACGTTGATAACTCATATTTCCCTCGTTCGTTTGTATGGATCTACTCTGTGAGCGAGGCTAGTCGGCATCGAAAACATACGTGTGGAAGGCGATGATGTCGAAGACAAAAGAGAGACACGCGTCGCCGCGACTGTCAATGAGCCCGGGACTGCGAGCTGACCAGCAGACAGAGAGAGCTGCCCGTTGTAAACGGCCTTTTCAGTATTTATTTTATTTACGTAAGGAGCGCGAGCGCCGCCACGCCGGATGTATTTACGAGGGCTCGCAAAGCCACTTCTCTCTTTTATTTTTGCCTGCCGTCATTTTTTGCATAACAGTTTTATAAGTCATGAACGTCGTTGGGGGATTATGCCGCGTAAGTGCTCGCCAGAACCTAAGTGTGCTTTTAATAATTTACCTTGCAGCGTTTATATCGGCGCGCGAGCGAGAGCCGCTTATTTATACTGCCGTCTACGCGCTCGTTATTTCAATTTTTCAAGCCGACTTGGCAATAGCAGCACGAACGCGCGCTATATTTGCGCAAATTAGAAATTGCAAAAAATAAAAGTGGCGAGCTTTCCGATTCGTTGCCAAAATCGAATATTTCACGCGCATTTTTAACCCTCTTTAATAATATGCGAGCGTTCTTTGCGTACCTTTTTACGATCGACCTAAGCTTACCACTCGGTCGAAGGCAACAAACTCATCAAAGTCCAGCCAGCCTCTAAGAATACTCGGAAAATCCAATCGAGCAGAAAAAGAAAAAAATCAAGTAGAAGCTAATCGCGGCGCACGAACAAGCGAAGCGCTCAAAAGACGCGAATATGCAAGTGTGCGTTTAGCCTGGCTTGGCGAGAGCTGACCAAAAATCGACAATCGACGTCGAGCGTACGTGTTGGGACGCCTATTTTCGGCAAAGGCTCGGTGCCGAGCACGAGAGAGCGAGAGAGTAAACTGGGCCGAGCGACGCCCGCGCCATTTATGGCGGCCTCGCGCGCACCCAGTCAGTCGAAGTGCACGCGCGCCCCACTCGGCTCCGCGCGCGCCTTTTTGCCAAAATTTTCACGGCTTCGACGAGAGACCGATCGGCCGCGCGCGCACGGCGTCTTACAACGTCTGACGAGAGCAACCGAGCTCCGCTGTACTTTGACAATCGGCTGCAAATCACATTTTTATTCAAAGCGGTTCAGACTGCGAGTAAAATCAGCCGTTCGATCGGCGTCCAGGCGTCGGCCGTTCGGCCAGCAGTCGGCGAAAATTTCCCTCCTACGGAAATTCGCGAGCAGCGATGCGTCCTTTCTTTCCTCTCGGATTTTTGTTCCCCGAAATCACTCTCGCGCGCGACGACACCCCGTCGATTGCGAGCCGAGAACAAAAAAGGCCGCGGCAGTAAATTGGCACGACGACGCGCGAGCACCAGCGCGATTGACCTCGATTCTGCAGGCGCGACAATTTCTACCTGCACTCGCGGAAGCTAATTAGTTTTCACCGTGTGACTCATTAAATCCGCGGCACGCGGCTCGATCCCCCTCCCAATTAAACGACGCTTCGCGACACATTTAACACCGATGAAAATCCGTCTTTGGGTATCGATGATTATTCAGCTTCGTGTTGCACGACTCGCTCTTTGGGAGATACCGTTTGCCGGAAATTCTTGGGGGGTTTCATACCGCAACTGTTTCTTTTTCCAGTTGCTTGGCCTAATTTATGATACGCCGAGGGAGGATGCTTTTAGCTATTAATATCAAGGATTGAATGAAACATTTCGCTTTCACAATCAAGAGTTGTAACATTATCAAACATTTTATGTAAGATTAAATAGTTCTTACACTATACATTTAGTTGATATCTTTGATGTCAAAACACTCGTTTAAGATTTGTACAAATCACGCAGTGCTGTTTCATTTTCATATGAAATTGCGTCAAATTTCTTCACATTGCATTTTTATCCAGGTAATTCCATGTTAGCAACAATAGATTTTTTGGTTGTTATTCAAAAGAAACTTCTGTCGATTATGTTGTGGACTGTGATTTTGGGGTAGCATTGTGATTCAATTCGAAATGGAAATCGAATTTCAAAAGTGCGATCTTGTCGATATCGTAATAATCCGTAATCATTATAGATACTTTTCTCAAAGATTCGAAACAACTGATGAGATAACAACCATACTGTCTGATATCATATATGTGTTTGTCAACTTTATGGCCAGATAATCCCGAAATATCAACGGCTACTTGAAATTTTGTACATTTCGGCAGAATCGTTCTTAACGATTATTAGGCTGGTCATCATACAAGTTATATGGCAATAGACTACCACTTTGTCATCATCGAAATCGCAAAGTATCAGAGTGATCAGTGCCTCACCGTTCAATAATATTCGTTTTGCCATTCAGCGATTCCCAAAAAATATCACATACCATTACCTTGGACAGTGTACTATTTGTGCAATCGCCATAAGCTAAACATTGCTGATTCTTTGGTACGTGCTTCATCATAGTAGGTCGATACATCGGACTTTCGAATGTTTGTCGACTTATGTGTGAACTCGATGCATTGTAACTGTACCACATAAGATCAAGTATTGCAATTAATTTTTTACTTTACAAATAAAGATAATGACGATGAATATTAATTTATTCATGATAGGATTGTGAGCTTTCGAAAATCAATA